TCTCTCTCTCTCTCTCTCTCTCTCTCTCTCTCTCTCTCTCTCTCTCTCTCTCTCTGTGTCTGTGTAATAGTTCCATGCCATTGGCGGGCACATGTGCATGTTAAGCTCCATTTGCATGAACCACAGGCACATGCAACCGCCACTCGTGCAAATGGAGCACACACACGCATCTGGATATTGCCCACTGCTCACGCAAATTGGGATGCACTCACCCGCTACTTCCACGGCCCGGTTCCGAATCGCTCCAGGCCCAGTAATGGGCCACAGTCCAGGAGTTGGGCACTCCTGACTTAGACAGCCCACGTTTTTAAGGTGGCACAGGGGATAAGGGCTTGAGGGGGGGATGGGGTTCGATATAGGATGGGGCTGAGTTCAGAAAGACACTTGGATGGCCCCTTTCCTTCGGAAGACCACTGTGATACGTACATTGCTGCTCGCTGACCCTTCTGAAGCTGATTGAAGTCCTCGTTCAGGCTTCGGATGGCATGCCACACCTGACCCCAGACTTTGCGCAGCTGCAAGAAGCTGAAGTTCCTTTTGGGGTCTTGAACTGAGGAAGAAGTAGATCATCGCTAAGAATGACCAGACGGAGAGATGGGGATTGGCACGCACAAAACAATCAACAGTTGATCAACAAGCTCTCACTAGTTCCTAGGAAAAGACCTGTGATATTTTAGAGGTTTAGATTGCCTAATTAACTGGATACTATGTCAAATTCTATCCAACCAAAGCCTCAACTGAGAATATATCTACTACAAAGCGATGTCACCTAACTTGCCAACTGGCGTACAGCTCACTGCAGCAATTGGAATTGTAGTAACTCTACTATCTGTCTGAAAAGATCAAGATTTCAGCTGCCCAGTCGTGTCCGACTCCAGGAGGCAGCACTCATTTTTCCTTCGAGGGAGCCAGTGTTGTCCGAAGATGCTTCCGTGGTCATGGGGCCATCATGATTATATGCCAAAGTGCACTGAATGCTGTGACTTTCCCACTGAATGGATACCTATTTATCCAGTCGCATTTGTATGCTTTCAAACTTTGAGGTGGGTAGGAGGTGGGAGGTGGAGCAATTAGCGGGAGATCACCCGTTGCAAAGCACTTGGGTTTCAAACCTGGGATGTCAGCTTTCCAGCTGACAAGCTCAGCATCTTTAACCACTAAGCCAACTTTCTGAAGCAAACTACTAACTGTTGTGACTGCACAGACGAACCCCTGTGTCTGGGCAATGTTTTGTCATGCTCTCACAAACCCGGGGAAGAAAGCTTGAACATTCCTAGCAGGATTCCATTTGCGGGTATAACATTTTGTCCCTTCTCACAATGAGCAAATGTGAGAAGCACAATGAGCACAATGTCAAGTAAAGAATACTAGATACTTGACCTGTAGGTCAGTGGTGAAATTCAAATGTTTTTATCACCGGTACTGTGGGCATGGCTTAGTGGGCGTGGCATGGCAGGGGAAGGATATTGCAAAATCTCCATTCCCAACCTACTCTGGGGCCAGCCAGAAGTGGTATTTGCTGGTTCTCTGAAGTACTCAAAATTTCTGCTACTGGTTCTCCAGAACCTGTCAGAACCTGCTGAATTTCACCCCTGCTATAGGTGTTACAAAACCAACTTGTTCGTGATGCAAAAGGAAAAACGGTTCTTACTACGAAGGTTTATTTCTTTTGCTGGTCTGAGGACACCACACAAGTCACAGTTGCCTTAACCAAGTATGGTCATGTGACTGCCTTTGGCTCTTCCTGTACCTTTTTAAACTGAAGCAATCTATACATTTTATACAGAATGAAGATGAGGTATCAGGAGTTTGGTTTGGCTCCAGGCTTGGGAAAGTGGAATCCCATTGCAGGAATAAACACTGGCACCTAATTCTAAAGACAGCTTAAAATTGCACAAAGAGTAAAAAGAATCTGAGAAACAGCTAAGGTAATTTGTACTATTTAAACAGAACTGAAAGAGCAGCCACAGGTAAAAATTTATTGAAAGGGGGGGGACTTGTTTTGGGGAAATTGGAAGCATCTTTTCAGACTACAGGTAGCCCTCGACTTAATAACCATTCATTTAATGACCATTTGAAATTTCAACAGCAGTGCAAAAAAGTGGCTTAGGACTGTTTTACAACCATTGCAGCACCCCCACAGTCACAGGATCAAAATTTGGATGCTCGGCAACTGGCATGTACTTATGACAGTTGCAATGTCCCGGGGTCATGTGATCACTTTTTGCAACAAGCAAAGTCAATGGGGAAGGCAGATTCACTTCCTAACTGTGTTACTAACTTAACTGCAATGATTCACTTAACAACTCTGGCATGAAAGGTGGTAAAGTGGGACAAAACTCAACACATTTCTCACTTAGCCACAGGAAAGTTGGCCTCCATTACGGTTGTAAGTCGAGGACTACTATATATCTAGCTACAAAAGCTCTTTCCTGCATCCTCTCATGCAAAGAAATAAGAAAGTTTCTTCCCATCCCAGATCCTTACGGATGTAGTTTATGCTTTCTGGATGGGGCCTTGGGGAGATCTGAGACTCATAGGCGACTTTTCGGCCATCAAACAGGAAGAAAAGGTTGGTATCAGCAGCAGTGGCGTCATTCAGCTGGAAGAAAAAAATCATTTCATTTGAATGATGCTGACAACGTTCTGACTGACGAACCCAACTAAAGCAAGAATAGCCGAGGCGATCCAATCTCGGAATGCAAAACTTTATTTATTTAAATTTATTTTTAATATATTTTTTAAGTTATATATTCATATTGTGTGCGAACAGTTGGTTCTGGGTATCCTTCATATTAATCCACAATAATGATGTTAATAATCTCTATCATATTTCTCAAACGTAAGTAGAATTAGAATTAGAAGGTTTATTTATATGCCGCCCTTTTCCCTGGGGGGACTCAGGGCGGCTCACAATCCAAAGGAAGGGGGGAAAACAGACTTTTACATATAAGACAATACATGATTAAAACACAACATTTATAATATAAGTAATCCTTATATTGTTCATATATATTCAAAAACTCCATCTTTATCTCCAACTTCATCTATATCTTTCTTGTTATATCTAAATATTTCTCTATGTATGAACAAATTTAACTAAGTTTCCATTTATATTGATCCAGTTTACACTAACATTGTTAATAATCTCTATCACATTTACCAAGTTTATGTAATCCTCAATATATTATACATCTCCTCTTTAGTGTTTCATTTCTTACCCATTTTTCCATTTTAATCCAATTCACAATAACAGTAGCAACAAAATTAACTAAATATCATTCATGTTACTCCAATTCACATTTTTGAAATGCAAAACTTTATTGAGTACATCATTTCGGCACAGATGAGGGCAAAACCAGATCTAACTAATTCCCACGCAAACCCACCTAATTAAAGTATAGATTCTCCCTAAAGTTTCCCTGATCATATCCAAGATCCTGCCTTGAGACTCAAGGGAGACACAGATAATTTCTTCAGTGGTCATCTTCCATCCCAATTTTTCCTATTTTATTCAATTGAAAATTATTGATAATTTTCAAGTATTTCCTTTAGCGGAATCTTTCCCCAGCAATCTCTTCCCTAGCTTTAAACATCAATACTTTTGAAAGGCAGAATTGTATGTTACATTGGCTTTGCTACTATACTTTTAGCTGTCGTGTGGTACAGAAGCATGTCTCAGTAGAGCTGATGTTAGGATACAGTCTTTTATAACAATTTCCCCTTCAATGGGCCAACTGATTAGCCTAAGGACATAGAATCTAAATTAAATTTTGTGAAATTACAGCAAGGCTGTTCTATCACTAACCAACTGTCCTAGAGTAAGAATACTCTCTTTTCCGCTTCAGAAAATGAATTAAGAAATATAGAAAATGGTTTAATTTGGAGAATACATCCATTTACTAATTAAGGTAAAGGTAAGGGTTCCCCTCACACATATGTGCTAGTCATTCCCAACTCTAGGGGATGGTGTTCATCTCTGTTTCAAAGCCAAAGAGCCAGCGCTGTCCAAAGGCGTCTCCATTGTCCTGTGGCTGACTAAATGCCGAAGGTGCACAGAACACTATTACCTTCCCATCAAAGGTGGTTCCTGTTTTTCTACTTGCATTTTTTTAATGTGCTTTCAAATTGCTAGGTTGGCAGAAGCTGGGTCAAGTAACGGGAGCTCACTCTGTTATGCGGCGCTAGGGATTCTTTCTGCCGAACTGCCGACCTTTCTGATGAACAAGCTCAGGGTCTAAGCCACTGAGCCACTGTGTCTCTACCTACTAATTAAAGGCTTTTAATCAGAAGAAATGATAGTTGAAAACGCCTCTGCATCAGCCATAACGCACTGAGTGCCACTTAGTGAAAATATTACAGACTTACCTTTATGTCAGTCAGATACTGAGCATCATGTTTCTCAGGAAATAACACTAATCCTCCTTCCTGTAACAATTCTTGATTCTGCTCTGGAATACCAGTGTCTGCCTCGATTTTAATCTTTATGCTCTGCAAAGTCTCTCCCTCTGCTAGAGGATACACGTGCGTTGAACCTGTTACCATGTTTAGGATATGGACCAGCTGGAAAAAAGAAATAGCCATAATAAAGCCACAGAAATGCAAATAAACAAAGCAACAAAGATGCTGTTGCTAAAAGGTCTTTCCCTCTTCTGGCCATTGAGTCCCACAATAAAGTAGGTAGTCCTTATACAATAATATACAATAGCAGAGTTGGAAGGGACCTTGGAGGTCTTCTAGACCAACCCCCTGCCTAGGCAGAAAGCCCTATACTCGGGATGGTGTGCCACAGGTGGCATGCGAAGCCATTTGTCAGGGCAGAAGAGGTGTTGCACTGTCCCAGCGCACATGTGCGCGCTGCCAGCTGACTTCAGCTTTTTTTAAAGCCATTTTTCACCCTCCCCAGGCTCCAGAGGCTTTATAGGAGCCTGGGGAGGGCAAAAAGAGCCTCCCCCCACCCCAGAGGCCCTCTGGAAGCTTCAGGAGCTTCCCTGAAGTACAAAAAAACCCGGCCCTATGGGCAAACCAGAAGTTCGGGAACGGACTTCCAGTTTGTTCGTCGGATCAGTTTAAGCCCTCCGGAGGCTTCAGGGAAGCCTCCTAAAGGTCCATAAAGCCTACGGAGGGCCTCCCCTTATGGCACACGAGCCAAAAAAGGTTCGCTATCGCTGCCCAATACCATTTCAGACAAATGGCTGTCCAACATCTTCTTAAAGACTTCCAGTGTTGGGGTATTCACAACTTCTGGAGGCCAGTTGTTCCACTGATTAATTGTTTTAACTGTCAGGAAATTTCTCCTCAATTCTAAGTTGCTTCTCTCTTTGATTAGTTTTCACCCATTGCTTCTTGTCCTGCCCTCAGGTGCTTTGGAGAATAGTTTGACTCCCTCTTCTTTGTGGCAACCCCTGAGATATTAGAAGACTGCTATCATGTCTCCCCTAGTTCTCCTTTTTATCAGACTAGCCATGCCCAGTTCCTGCAACCGTTCCTCATATGTTTTGGTCTCCAGTCCCCTAATTATGACCACAATTGAGCCCAAAATGTATGTTGCATGTATGTGGGTCAATTGCCAAGTGTCTGAATTTTGATCACACGACCATCCAGATGCTGCAATGGTCATAAGTGTGAAGTGCAGTCCTTTTTTTAGTGCCGTTGTAACTTCGAATGGTCACTAAATGAACTGTTATAAGTTATGAACTACCTGTAATCACATCAATAATCAGGTATCAAAAAACTTCCTTTAAAAAAAGGAAAAAAAACTGGCTCAATTAAATGAAAATAAAACTTTCTTTGTTCTGTTCTTTATCTGGTTAATGTTAAATATACTTTGGACACCTATTCCAACACTATACTGACATTTTTAAATTAAAAAAAAATCCTTTCCCAATTGTAGATATTTGTGAACTACAATATCCATAACCCTAGACTAAGGTCCTCTGAGATTTTGCAATCTAAATGACCTAGAGAGCATTAGAATAGACTAGAATGACAGAGTTGGAAGGGACCTTGGAGGTCTTCTAGTCCAACCCCCTGCTTAGGCAGGAAACCCTACACTACTTCAGACAAATAGTTATTCATCTCTTCTTAAAAACTTCCAGTGTTGGAGCATTCACAATTTCTGGAGGCAACCTGTTTCACTGATTAATGGATCTGTCAGGAAGTTTCTCCTTAGTTCTAAGTTCCTTCTCTCCTTGATTAGTTTCCACCCATTGCTTCTCGTTTTGCCCTCAGTTGCTTTGGAGAATAGCTTGACCCTCCTCCTTTCTGGAGCAGCCCCTCAAATACTGGAACACTGCTATCATGTCTCCTCTGGTCCTTCTCTTCACTAGACTAGCCCTGCCCTGCCCAATTCCTGCAACCGTTCATCGTATATTTTAGCCTCCAGTCCCCTAATCCTCTTTGTTGCTCTTCTCTGCACTCTTTCTAGAGTCTCCACATCCTTTTATATTATGTAACATCTTTTTATATTATGTAACTTTGCATTATACCCTCTCAGTGCTCCACAACGTGTAATCCATCATTTCTATTTATGAAACAATATGCCAAAAGAATCTCAACAAAGTAGGATGTCCAATAAAATACATTCAATCACACAGACTTCCAAAACTGCTCCAGTGTTATACCGTTCTCACACCCCTTCCTAAATGTCACCCTACTTCTTTCACCTGGACAGAACCTACCTTTACATTCAGGATATCATCCAAAGCCTTGAAACAGCCATTGGTGCCGTACACGGGATGAGTACCCCTCTGACGTGGGTGCCATTTCAGCATCATCTGTAGCCATTTCTCCAGTCTATCAGCCAAAACACTACAAACACGAAATAGCAAAAGTGGGAAGGAAGATCACTACTGTAGAAGCTGAGGGATAGGGGGAATTGAACCGGTTTCTTTGATCCTCATATAACTCCTTACCTATTTAGATTGTTAGGATAGGGCAGTTTGTTAGAAAATTTCACTTCTCCAGACAAATCTTCAAAAACAACAATATCCAGCTCACTCTTCTGTCGGACCTTTGCATGCCTAAGAGAATAGAGGGAGGTCTGTATGTTAAGGGATTTTAGTCCAGCATAGGTCTGCTCCTTTAATAAAAGCTAAGAAATTTATTGGGACAAAACCCTTTTATGAACTCGAATTTATTCTACCATATATTAACAGAGTTCATCTCAATGGCTGTATGCACGTTGCTAGTTCCTGGGCAAGATTTATTTAACTTGTACATATTTCCATCTTGTATTTTATATTTTAAATCTTCCATCATATAATGTGCTTTATTTTAATCATGATGCTTCTGATATGAATAAACAAGTAAACAAACTGCAAACGAATCTGGGCAGCTTATCGTATTTTTCGGAGTATAAGACGCACCAGAGTAAAAGACGCACCAAGATTTTGAAGAGGCAAATTAAAAAAAAAAGTTTTTGCACTGTGCTTTCACAAAAACGGGTCCATTTCCCCCCTGCCCCAAAAAGGGCATGAATGGCCTTTAGGAGGCTTGTAGAGTGCTCCTGGGGGGTGCCCCCCCCAAATGAGCAAAAAACCAACCCATTTTTTTGCTCATTTCTGCCCTCCCCAGCCCCCAGGAGCACTCTGGAAGCCTCCTAAAGGCTCTGCATGGACATTTTGATGAAGGGGCGGGGTTTCTGGAGGCAAAAAATGCTGTATTCAGTGTATAAGACACACCCAGATTTTCACCCTCTTATACTCTGAAAAATACAGTTAATTGTACACAGTTCAATCTTGTATTTTATATTTTAAATTTTATATCATATAATGTGCTTTTTTTAATCATGATGCTTCTGACATTAATAAATAAGCAAACAAACTGCAAATTATTCTGGGCAGCTTATATTTTAAGAGCTAGAATAAAAGATACCAATCTCAGACACCTAGAAGGAAAGAGCCAAAACAAGCAAGAAATGACCTACCGAAGGCTCAGCAGCAACCCCAAATCAAGGTGTGGGGAAAGAGTTGGGTTTTCAAAGGTTTCCAGAACACCATTTATATCCTACTTTTCCCACAAGAGCAAATATATAACATCCCTGCCTCCAATTTCTTTGCAGAACAGTCAGTCTGTGTAATAGATGGGATGAAAGGGAGCCACGGAGCCAAAGTGGTCAGATTTCAACCTGATTTTAATTCAGCACCATTGTAACCATTGTACCATATCACTCTCTTACGCAGTCCTCAACTTACGACCATAATCACGATGTAGTTTCCAGTCACAAGTGATGATCGTAAGTCAAGGAACCCGTGTGACTGGACACAATTTTAAATCTTTGGTGGCAATTGTTACCATATTTTTTGGAGTATAAGACACACTTTTTTCTCTCTCAAAAAAAGCTGAAAATCTGGGTGCGTTTTATACACTGAATACAGCATTTTTTGCCTACAGAAACCCCACACTCTTCACCAAAATGGCCGTGCATAGTCTTTAGGAGCCTTTCAGAGAGCTCCTGGAGGCTGGGGAGGGCAGAAATGAGCACAAAAAGGGCTGTTTTATGCTCACTTTTGCCCACCCAACCTCCAGGAGCACTCTATAAGCCTCCTAAAGGCTATCCATGGCTTTTTGGACAAAAAACGGGCCCGTTTTGGGGAAGTTTGCAGAATGCAAAAACTTTTTTTTTAAATGTGCCTCTTCAAAACCTTGGTGCATCTTATACTCCGGAAAAGACAGTAACCCATTCTTCAGAATAGGTGTTTTTTGTCAGAAAGTTTATTTTGTCAGAAAGACTGTGGGACACTGCAACCAGACACACAGGTGTGTTGGTTGCCAAGCGTCCAAAACGTGATCACGGGATGGTCTGTCTCTGTATGTGGCATGACATTCCACAATAGCCAGAAGTGGTTTACGGGCCATAAAACATTTGTTTTTGGTCCATTGTAATTTAAAATGGCTGTTAAGCAACTGATCGTAAATCCAGAGCTATCTGTAATAGCTTCTCCAAGTTACAAGATGTCTGAATTACCATTGTACTGGTTGCGAGCTGGGAAGGAAAGGTCGGAAACCGGTTATGCACTCAAAAGCCAGCGTACCAAAGCTCCAGTAATCGACTGTGACTGTGTATTTCTGTTGTTCTAGCAGCTCTGGAGCCTAGAACAGTAAAAACACAAAGCTGTCTACCAATGCAACCCCACACTTGTCTACACAGAAATCAGAATCAAGGATTTGAATAGGACTTATTTTCAATTAGGGTACATTCCTCTATCCACCGAATCTTCTTTAAAAGGGAGAACTCTTGAAACCATCACTTCCTTCCCCTACAAAGCCCGAACAATGGATGGGTGAGAACTCACCAAAGGAAATAATCCTTGATACAACGGTCACAGAATTTACTACTATAAGCTACGGTGATGTTCATTAGGTTAGAATGAATTGGAAAAATGATAAATCTACAGAGGAAGAGGAGGGGGAGTTGGGAGAGCTCTGTTCATTTTTATTACCTATAAGAGACAAATAAACTCACTACAGACCAGACAGTACTGTATACAGTGAAAAAATTAGACTGGTCTCTGTCAGGGAGACAAACATCTTATAACTGAGATGCTTTCCCACAATATCATCCTGGCAACCTGTTCATCTCAAATTCAATATGCTTCTTACGTTCTTCAGGGCAGCGCAGTAGCTGAGCAGCTAAGCCACTGGGCTTGTCGGCTGGAAAGCCTGCAGTCCAGGTCCAAGAGCCGTGCACCATGAGATAGGATGAGCTCCTGTACTCGCCCCAGCTCCTGCCAACTTCATTCAAAAGCATGCAGATGCAAGTAGATAAATAGATACCAACAATGCTCCGTGACCTCATGCTGGTCATATGACAGGGGAAACATCTTTGCACAGCTCTAGCTCAATGGCCTTGAAATGGGGATGAGCAGCGCCCCCTATAGACAGCAACGACTAGCGGAGCAAAATCAGGGACTCCTTTACTTTTAGCACTAGCCCTTAGACTTTTCATTTGACTGACCTCAGAAGGACGGAAGGCTGAGTCAACCTTGAACCAGTCAGAATCAAACTATCGAACTACTTACAGTCAGTAGAAATAGCCTGCAGTACTGCATTCTAAACACTGCACCACAATGGCTCTTTTACCTTATGTTCTTAATATGTGAAATCTCATTGTACAATTCTGAAAGCCCCAGGGCTTACTCTAAAAGAATGCTTACCAGATACTGCAAAGTCCCAACGAAGGATGTGCAAAGGCTGCCTTGATCCAGCTCTTTGGCATAGCCCAAGTCAATAATCTTATGTATTAACTAAAGAAAAGCACAACAATGACATATGTGAGCATGCTAAGAATCTGCGGGAGAAATGCAATTTATTGTCTTGGGTTCACTCAACCCTCTAAGCCCAAGGATGCTGGATTATTATTTAACATGTTGTGTAAAATCAGCGAATATGATTGGTAAACCATGTTTTATAGTTCAGAACAGACACAGACAATTGTAGTTCAATAAATTAGAACCAATATCTTCTATAAATACAACTGTATTTTACTGTAAATTCTCAATGGGAAGTGGTGTGTCAGTTATTTAAAACAATCACTCCCTGGAAAGATACAATTAAATGACCCTGGCAAGATCACAGATATGTCTAAAATCCTAGGCTTTTCCTGCTACAGGAGGGGGGGGGCACGGGGGACACAGAAGTGATGCACAGCACGGTTGAATTTGGGGGGAAAAATTACAAAAAACTAGCATGCTTACTAACGCTGAAAAGCAGGCTCTCCATCCAGTGCATCTTCCAACGGCTTTCTGTTACAGTACCTCACCTTAAAGCACTATGCACCATGCACTGTGCAAAAGACACTGTGCAACAAGCCAAGAATTGAATAAGTGGAAAAGGACTCCTAAGCCCTTTGTACACAGCTCAAAGACAGCATCCCTGAAAATATTTATGTTTAAATGTTTATGGTACCCAGAGATACGTGGGCTTCAAACTCCCAAATTCTCCAGCCATCCAGAAATGTGTGGACTTCAACTCCGAAATTCCCCAGCCAGCAACCCTGACTGGGGAATTTTGGGAGTCGAACTCCACCCATCTTAAACTTGTTTGAGGTTGAGAAACTGTGAATTACTCTATTTTTCAGAGTATAAGACATACTCCCCCCGCTCCCCCCAAAAAGAGGCTGAAAATTTGGGTACATCTTATATTCCGAATGTAGCTTTTTCGAAGCTACTTTTTCAGCCCTACTGAGACACTACCGAGTGAAACGATCTTCCGTGCTTTGCCTGCTTTTCTCATTGCTTCTTTCTCCAATGATCAGCTGTGCTTTAGAAGCTGTTTTTTTAATCCCCAACCAGGGAATAAAAAGCATGTGCATGCTCAAAATCAGCAAACCTATGTGCTGAAGCTGACCAGATTAAGAAGGCTAGCCAGATGAGTATCTGGTAGGCAGAATTTTTTTCCTATTCCTCTCCCCAAAAACAAAGATGCGTCTTATACTCCAGTGAGTCTTATACTCTGAAAAATATGGTAGTTAATTAAGCAAGTGAACGAATGTAACTACCTCCAGACTCTATTTCCTTCTTCTTTTTAATTAAATATGAGAGGTTAATCTCTGAGAGTGAATGAAAGCCATCCCCAGCCTTCTCCCTATGTGGCATACATTTGCCAGAAGAGAAGAACTAGGTCTAACCTCCTGCACCTTATGAGGAATGAGGAAATGTAGCAGAGGAATCCTACTCACCCTCTCTTCACCTTGTTGCAAAACTATGTTCTCTGGTTTCAGGTCTCGGTGAATGATTCTGTTCTCATGAAGGTAACGCAGGGCTGAAGCTAATATTGAGGGGGGGAAGGGAAATCACAATCAACGCAGTCCGTCATATTAAACAAACACTCCACTGTGTTTCCTGATGAACTGAAACGGGTTCAGAAAAGGTGAGTCAGAGGAACGAAAACTATGCCTTCCATGGAAAAATCTGAAGAATCTGGGTATGCTGAGGTTTTTGAGAAAAGACGGCTATGGGGAAGCATGATTCCAGGACCTAATCTAGGTCGTTCACCGGGGACAGAGGTTTAGATTTCCCAGGACAAATCATGCATTTCAAAGATTGCTTGGAGGAGGGAGATACTTCCAATGTAATCTACCAGGTCCCCTACATGGATCGCCCCTGGGACTATGTAGGGCAGACGAAGAACACAAGCGTGTTCTCCATAGGCTCATCTAGCAGGCCTTTACTGGAATATGGCCAAACTTGGAATTGTTTCAGCCTCACTTTGCTCTCTTTAATCCATTTCTTGGGATTCCTTACCTTTAGATTTGGCCCACAATATCCGATACTTACCAATGTCTGATAATAAAATGAGAATTTCTTTCTCACGCAGGCCACAGCAATTCTCAAACTGGTTCAGATGCTATGGATTACAAGGAAGAACAAGAAAATTACCTTTACACAAGTTTTCCATGAATCTATCACTTAGTTCTACAAGGGGAGACTGTCAGCTAACAGATAACACTTCCAGAACTGACTTTCAGAGCTATATCAAGTCTAAATGTCTGTAGAGATTCTCAACCATCCAGGCCATGGTTGTCCCAAAGGTGCTTTAAAATGCAGTTGTCTTTTGGAAAAGCAACTTTGGGTACACCAGGCCCAGCAGTACAGCTCTTCTACACTGTAAAGATTCTCAAAGCAGGATATATTTGTGGTCTTCTATACCTAAAATCATAGATATCTTAAAAGTGAAATAAGTATTGGATCCCAGAGAAGAATGGGATAGAACAGACTTTATAAAACAGTATAGTAGAGGGAGGGATTTTGATGTCATCAGTCTAGCAGTAGCAATGTGTATGGAACTGCGATGATACAACAGGATATCCCTGATTTGCAACTACAATTAGGACTGAGGCTTCTGTCACTAAGGGATAGCAATAGCACTTAGACTTATATACCACTTCGCAGTGCTTTGCAGACCTCCCTAAGAGGTTTACAAAGTCAGCCTCTTTCCCCCAACAATCTGTGTCCTCATTTGACCCACCTTGGAAGGATGGAAGGCTGAGACAACCTTGAGCTTGGTGAGATTCGAACTGTCAAATTGCAGGCAGCCAGCACTCAGCAGAAGCAGCCTGTAGTACTGCACTCCAACCACTGTGCCACCTCAGATGAGGTCATTAAGTGAGACGTGCCTGATTTTATGACTTTTTTTGCCTTGGTTGTTAAGCAAATCATGCTGTTACGCTAAACTGGCTTTCCCCATTGACTGTGTTTATCAGGAGTTTGGCTGGGAAGGTTGCAAACGGCAATCACACGATCCCAGGACGCTGTATTCACTGTCGTAAATACACATTGCCAAGTGCTCAAATTGTGATCCTGTGGCCAGCTATGGTCATAAACATGTGGACCAGTCGTAAGTCACTTTTTTCAGCACCGTCATAACTTTGAGCAGCCGTTAAACAAATGGTTGCAAGTCAAGAACTATCTGTAAAAGTAGGAACTGAATGCTATATAACAGAGGTCCCCAACCTCTGATCTGTGGACTAGCACATTCCAGCAACTGGGTCACACAGAGAAGTCCCATCCATGGGATGCAGGGAGCACGCAAAATCCCACTCCCTCCGGTCCATGGAAAAACCTTTCTCCATGGAACCAGTCCCTGGTGTCCCAAAGGTTGGGAGGGTCGCTGCCGTAACAGAAGCCACGTTTTGCAACAACTGAAGTTTAGTTCTCAGCCCTGCTTTAATGAAGCAAATATGGATTTCTCTTATTTGACACCTGGAAAATCATATTCCGTAACACTTTCCACAAACCTCCTTAGAGAAGGATTAGATTAGAACATTATCTACTATAAAGGATTTATTGTTTTTTTTCTATAAGGGAACAGAATGTACAAAAGTCTCCATGGGAAAAGTTGTAAGGATTGATCAGTTCACTTGGCGGAAAGCTGAACCCTCCAAGTTTCTGACAGATAAGATAGTCTCCATAGAAATAAAATACTGAAACATTTTACATTTCTCACAGTATTTATTTTCCACTTCAGAGGGGGAAAAACGGTCTGGCACAATTAATCTACCAACCTACTGCAATACAGCCAAGTCATACCAACATGAGATATTCTGAATTTATTTACAGTTGGGGAGGAACATTGTGACTCGCCTACTGCACACTATCGTCAGATTGTTGGTCTAAATGCTGGCACAACTACTGATATTCCAGTTTTGACCTTCTAATAAACAAATAGAGACGCTTCCCCCCCACCCCTGAATCTCATTCTTTATTTCAAAAGGAAGAGCATGTTTGTAGTCAACACCATCTTCTCAATTTCATTTGTTTCTTAACAGATTAACAGAGTTGGAAGGGACCTTATAGGTCATCTAGTCCAACCCCCTGCTCAAGAAGGAGACCCTACACTATTTCTAACAAATGGCAGTCCAATCTCTTCTTGAAAGCCTCCAGGGATGAAACTCCCACAACTTCTGTTCCAAGGGTTGATTGTTCTCACTGTCAGAAAATTCCTCCAGGTTGAATCTCTCCTTGATCAGTTTCGATCCATAATTCCTTGTCTGGCCTTCGAGTGCCTTGGAAAATAGCTTGACCCCCTCCTTCTGTGGCAGCCCCTCAAATACTGGAAGACTGCTATCCTGTCTCCTCTGGTCCTTCTCTTCACTAGACTAGCCATGCCCAGTTCCTGCAACCGTTCATCACGTTTTAGCCTCCAGTCCCCTAATCATCCTGGTTGCTCTTCTCTGCACTTTTTCTAGAGCCTCAACATCTTTTTTATAGTGTGGTGACCAAAACTGGATGCAGGATTCTAGATGTTGTCTTACTAAGGCTTAATGTTTATTTTTCCATCCTGATTAAATCTTTTGTCTGAGTGACGTAAAAAGTGAACAGAAACTGAAGAAAGAAAAAGTGTTCCAGAGATGCCCTGCCTTTTGAAGATGGAACTTTGAAAAGGACTTTCTTGGATGCAGAAAAATTCTGCTTTGCTAAAGTTTTGCTTACCAAAAGAGAAAGCAACACATTCTTTTGACGCTTGCTTTCATTTTATGAAATAGCCAAAACAACAAAAAGAACAACTCCCCGTGGAGATTCGAACCCTCACCACCCTCCAGGCCTTCCGCATAGCCCTTAAAACCTGGCTGTTCCGACAGGCCTGGGGCTAAAGACTTGCAGCCCCACTTCGAATGGTATGATTGTTGTGCTTTTTAATTGTGTATGGTCTTTATGTTTTGTAACTTGTCTGTTTTTCCCCTCCCTTGAGTTGTGAGCCGCCCTGAGTCCCTTTCAGGGAAAAGGGCGGCATACAAATAAAGCAAAATGAAATGAAATGAACAAAAGTTATATGCTATGCACGATGAAATTGATTTTAACTCTTTCAAGCCACTACCAGTTTTCAGATTGATTTCATTAGATTGGCCCTGCAAATATCATCTTATAAAGAATTAGAAAAGCTTTTTTTTAAGTTATGAAGAAGAAACTCAAATACTTTGGCCACCTAAAAAGAGAAGGAAGGACTCCCTGGAGAAGAGCCCAATGCTGGGAACGATTGAGGGCAAAAGAAGGGGATAACAGAGAATGAGGTGGCTGGATGGAGTCACCGAAGCAGTAGGCGTGAGCTTAAATAGACTCCAGGGGATGGCAGAGGACAGGAAGGCCTGGAGGAACGTTGTCCATGGGGTCGCGATGGGTCGGACACGACTTTGCAACTAATAACAACAAATGATTTCTGATAACAATTTCCCCTTTGCACAAAACCATCGTGCTAGGAAGAAGCCAAAGTGGAATATGTCTACTTCTTTTTCTAACAAAGATCTTAAAGTTGAAAAGGTTGAGAAATATAATTCTAGTTCTGTTCCAGAGTTTCAGCCAAGACCCTAAGTGTACTCTAGAAAGTTCAAAGTATTTTTATTTCTTTCTGCAATGTGACAACATAACTGCCGAAAAACTCACCCTCCTAAGATCTCCTCCTTGGCAATATTCCATAGCCAGCAGGGGTAGGTCATTGGGTGTAACATTTTGCATCCCTTCCGGAACATCCCGGGCAGCCACCACATTGGGGTGATTTAGACTATAAGAAATAAAAAACACATAAAAATGCACAAAAGCTTGGGAAAACCTGGCACTCAACTTTAAAGCAAAGGCTTTATTCAATGCCTGTATGTTAAGTGTCTAACACAAAATACTTGGATGTGTAACTTTGCAAAGGACTGTGGGACACACTCAAGAGCATGCTCTTTATCATTTTAATCCTCTGCTCACATCCTTAGCCTATGCAAGCAGCACTCTTGTTCCAAATTCTTTCTGTTATCATACAGATTAAAGAGATTATTTTAAGCACGCTGTCTTATACTTTCATTTCCATGTATTCCTAAAATACATATATTAAAAAAAATATGACTCTGCAAATCATACAATGCAAGATTAAAATAATTAAAGGTGAACTACCAAAAATGCAACAAATGATACTATATATACAGAGATACACGTAATAGTATGTTAATTAAAGCTACCATCATTTTGAAGGGGGAAAAAACCACTGTAGAAATTAGTTATTAAATTCCACCACACAATAAGTAACAAGACCTCACACTGTACTTTATAGACGATCTAAAGATAAATTGCAAAAGAAAGATTTTCCAAAGACAAATATGAAGGGACCTAACTTCAAACAGATTGATACTCAGGCAACCCTCCAATCACTTTTTTTAGTATGTAAAAATTGGAATTTACTTCAGAATAAACATACTTGGAATGATGCTGTATGTATTTCTATATGACATGTGATTAATTTCTTGGTCTACAGAATATTCTGTTTTGTTTTGAGCTTATTATTTTAAGATCATTCAGGATTCATGTAGGGACCTTGCCAGCTCAGAAGGTTTTCCTCTTTCAACTGATACATGCATGTATTTAATGCCTTACAGATATCTGAAAGGTTAGATTTTAAGATAAATAATTCATTTTCAAGTGACGCACCAGAGTGCTCCAGACTACGGATCATGTTAGCTGTGCCATCTGGCATTGTACAAGGCTAAATAAATAGTTGTGCAATAGGATTATAATCTTCGTGATAATTGCTATATCAAATGACTATTTTTCATAATGTTTGTGGACAGTTGTGTTTTACAGTGTTACTCACCGTTTCATGATCTGTATTTCCAAACACCATCTCTCTCGGTTGCGGAGGCTGAGCTCCTGACGACACTGCTTGATTGCAATTTGCTCTCCAGTTTCCTATAAAAAGAGGAATTTTTGAGGGTTCTTTCTCCAACGATGCACACGTAAAATAAGGTTGACAACTCTGAATGCCTTTTTGGCAGTGTTGTTGCAATGAGCTCGGGGGCTTCGATCTTTCAAAATGAGTACTCCTAGGTTTTTGACAGAGTGGGGAGAATGGGCCATCTTTTAGATTGTTTCCGCCCAGCTTGTATTTGAAGTTCTGATTTTTATTGCCAATGTGTAGAACTGAGCATTTGTTAGCAGAGATTTGGAGTTGCCAATTGTTTGACCATTCAGATACATAATCTAGGTCGTAGCTGCTTATAATATGATCACAAAGGTCGTTTCTATAAAGTAGAAAGAGTGTTGGTCCTAGAAGGCTGCCAAATGTTTTTTGCAGTGTATGAGTTGCAGATTACAGGACAAAATTTTCCTGAAACCAAATTGCTTATTAGAGAGTAGGTTGCTTGTCTCTAAGTGGAGAGTTGGTTTATGATGGATTCCATGACTTTACAGGTGACACAGCAAAGGGAGATGGGTCTGTAATTCTCAGCAAGGCCGGGGTCTCCTTTTTTGAAGATAGGTATGACTGTTGCTAATGACCAAAGGTCAGGCAAGGAGCTTGTTCTAAAAGATACTTCATAGATGAAGCTTAGAGGTTCAGCTAAGGCAGTGGAGAGCTTTTTTAGAAAGTAGGCACATATTCCATCGGGGCCAATAGAAAGAAATGGCTTTAGGTGTAGTGCCCTATCTTGTCTCGTAAAATCAATGTGGATTAGATCATTGCAGTTGGTTGTGGTACGACTAGGAAATGAGGGTGAGATAATGCTGGTCATCTAAGCACTTTTTTTATGGCAATGTAGACTATGTTGCAAATTATTCACAGATTCTTGGATGCCAATTGCACAAGCAATGTCATTAAAAAAACAACCTTGTATTTGGTCGAGACCATAGATTTTAATCTGCTATTATGTCATGGAGCTGTTGGCCATGTCCATCACACAAAATTCCCAACTTGAGGTTCAATTCCTTAGAAGAAGACATTCACTTTCATTCAAATCAGGGATCTTCAACCATGATATGTCTAAGGTTTTAAGGTTTTAATGGATTTGTATGCTGCCCAATCCCAAAGGACTCTGGGCGGCTTACATAAAAACAATTTTAAAAAATATTAAAAGAATTTAAAATACAAGACAAAGCGAATTAAAAAACACAACATGCACTCAATCTTAGTGGGGCTGAAGCTCAGTCAAAGATCAGCAGCCCCAGGCCTGCCGGAACAGCCAGGTCTTAATAGACTTTCGGAAGGCCGAGAGAGTGGGGAGGGTCCGGATCTCAGGGGGTAGATCGTTCCATAGGGCCGGGGCAGCTACAGAGAAGGCTCTCCCCCGAGGAGCCGCCAGACGACATTGTCTAGTAGTCGACGGCACCCGGAGAAGGCCCATCCTGTGAGATCTTATTGGGCGCTGGGAGGTATGTGGCAGGAGGCGGTCACGGAGATATCCAGGTCCTAAGCCATAAAGGGCTTTAAAGGTA